CTCCTCAACAATGCATGGCACAATGTCAATCTATTCTTCAGACTGGGGAATCTCACCCTCACTGCAGCTGGCCATACCCAGGTAATTTATCATTATAGATATTAATTGATTTTTGTTTTATTTGGGTTCATTGGTATTGGAAATATTTTTCTTCTAGATTGTCGCTAATGCCACATATAATTCACCTATTCTCATGCTTTCTGACTACAACGTCAACGGCACGTTAATCGTCGGTGAAGGATTCAAGGGATGCATTCTCCAGGGACCCGGAATTCTCTTCAATAATTCAATCAATTATGGCGCTGTACTCGGTACCTGTCCGTCTGATAACAAAGGATGTAAGTTGTCATTCATTTGGTAATTAATGTTTTGCTGGTGAAAATTTTACGAGGTTTTAGGCAAAAATTTATCGGAATTTTGAATTATATAATTTTTAATTAAATTTCAATTGAAAACGCTCCCTATACGTCTCCCGTTTATTCTGTAAATTCAAGAAAATTGGGGGTTTTGTGTTGAATGATTGATTTTTCAATGAAAGCTTGAATTTTCAATATGTTTATCGGTTTCAGTGCCATGTGGACCTGAAAATTGAGAATTACCGGAATTCTACAGAAGTTTCATGTTTTTTTTTCAGAAATTATCAAATTGAAAATAATTTTAATTCTATATGGCATTTAATGAAACAGTAAATGAATAAACTGTAGAATTTGCTTGTTTTTATTTAGAAATGTTTTGGTAGAAATCGGAAGTAGTGCGTTTTGTCTGAATACTGCAGAATGCATGGAGTGTTTCTTTTTTTTTTTCGTTTTTAACCAAGAGTATTCTAGGTGGACCGAATAGCCTTGCCGGTAGCCTCACAGCATCGACATCTGAGATGGATTATTGTCACCACGAACCGTGCATGATGCACGGAAAATGTGTATCGCGACAGGATCGTTACGAGTGCCAGTGTTACGCCCGATATTCTGGCAAAAACTGTCAGATTGATAATGGTAGATTATTTGTGTGCTTTGAACGATTGCACAGCGATAATGACTTTTTATGAGCTTTGTCATGCATGATCAAATTTTTTCACATCTAATTGCACTCTCTCACTGATTCTGTTTAAAATGCATTCTCAAGAGT